TCGGTAGGCGGCCGCGGCGGTGGCGGCTGGATACGGAAAGCCGGGCACTGCAGGGCGAGAGGAGAGAGCAAGGCAAAGGCTTTTAGATCTACACCAACCATTGCGGGAACCTCCCAACACACACACACACACATACACACACACTTCCAAGAGCCAGGGGTCTAAAGGTGGCAGCTGGCAGGGGTCAAGGGCCAAGAGCCAATTCCAGAGAGGATGGGCTAGTTAAGACAGTGGTCACAGTGCATAAGACAATGTGCCAAATGAAAACATTGACAAACAATTCTTAAATACAGGATTAAAGCTCATTGCACAATTTTTAAAGGTGGATTGCAATACGTACGTGCAATGTGTTCTCGACATTATCCATCCATTGATCATTCCATCCATCCATCAATCCATCCATCCATAAACATATATACATATACACACACAATTCTAGTGTGTAATATATATTTATATGTGTCTGAGCACACAATATACATGTATGTATGCATGTGCATGGATATGTATCTGTGCATGTGTAAGTGAATATGTACATGCATTGTGTGCAAACACAGTATGTATGTGTGTGTGTATATATTCAGGAGTACGTGCATATGTGTATGTGAATGTATATATATATATATGTGTATTCATATTTGTGTGTATATAATAATATTTGCAAATACATACATTTCAATGTGTTCACACTTATCTCTGAGGATGAACTGTATGGGTGTGAGTTGTCTGTTCATAGGTTTTCCCCATCCCATGTTTAGTTATTTCTCATATTTTCCTTTATGTGCATATATTGCTTTTTAAAAAAAATGTTAATTGAAATACAGTGCTGCTCCAGACATGTGTATGCATCATGAGTGTACATTGAAACAAATCATTCCCAACGTCCCATCAGCCCCCTAACCATTTGTGCAGCTTATAAAACACAGTAACAGCAATGACAGAGAAGTCTGGGAACTCAACTCCTAAGAAGAGAGTGTGGGCAGGGTTTTCTTCCCTGGCGGGGGGGGGGGTTCTCTGAGCAGGATAACTTGCTGAAGAGTCAAGAGGGAAATTAAGCGTGATGCTTGAGACCCCTGGTAATTAATTCTGTTGCCTGGGAGGCCTTCCTCCCACAGCATGCAAATCCTAACCCAGGAGGCCTCCAGGAAACGGCGCTGCCTTCCAGCTCCTGCCACTTCCCCGATTCCCCGGGAGCTCTCACCAGGCTCGCTGTCCCATCCCATTAAACAGCAGGAACTCCTGCCCAAACCCCAAGGCACAGAGAGGGTGCTTTTCTGGGAAAATACATGTGGGGAACCCTGTCTCGGGAGACCTATATCGGAGGCTCAGGAAGCCCTACAGTGAGGGAAACATTAACCCAGTGAGCCCCGCACCCACACTCCATTTTCCCGGACATTCTTTATCTATGTAATGCTTTTGAGAAGAGGGAGGTCAGTCACTTGCTATGCTTCTCTCTCCTATTAGTCTGCATGCTCCTGCAGGCCTTCCTCCACGGCCCTTTCATCTTTGCATCTCCTCCTGCCTCCCCAAGTCAACAACAGGAGCCCCCCGATTTTATCCACAGCAGGGATAAATACTGGGCACCGGAAGCAGGGCGGATGATGTCACTGCCTGACCAGGTGGATGAAGCCGTGGTCAGGCCAAAGGGTGGGCAACCATCCAGCAAACCCTCTCTCCTGGCCCATTTTCTCCTCTGATCCCGCTGCCCTAACAGGAGCTCGGAGGGGTTCCAGAGAGAGGAAGTCACGTGAGATGAGCCAGGGTGTGATGGCTTTCCTCCCTTCCACAGCCCACCATCCATAGCCTTGGGGTTTCACAGTGTGATGGCGTGCCATGCCGGGAAGGACATGGAGTCCCTTTTGGCATGACATCAACGCCAGGAAAGGACTCCTGGCGAAGGAAGCTCTTTTAATTCCTTAACTCAACACACCCACACTTCACTCTTCCTGGAACTCTATTGTATGAAACACCTAACTGCGCCCGGGGTGTTGTATTTCCTGTTGTGCTAAAGTGGTCTCTACCCTGTGTCCAAACTGCCACCAGGGCTTTCCTCTTCCGACTGTCACACTTAACCGTACATGCACTCCACCCCATCTCATCTCATTGCTCCCCACCCTCGGACAGTAAGTTTGTAGCTGCATGGTGGGTGGCAGGGGGTAGGGAGAGGAGAGGGCTCCCACAGAAGTTACTCCCAATTCCATACCACCTCATGGACCTGCATGGATTGGACTCTGATCCTTGAACCTGAGATGAAGACTGACTGGCTGTCATTCGGAATTCTCTGTGTGTTCCTGAAGGGTGAGCAGCAGACCTGTTTCATGGATTGTACCATATCTTTCTCTCAGGAGGATGGTAAAATGCTAGGATGGCTGCACCAAGCCAGAATGAGTCCATCTTTCTATTTGTGTCTGAGACCATACCAGTTATTTGTAACTGTTTTTAAATATATTTTTTAATTGATTTTAGAGAGAAAGGGAGGAGGAGAGATAGAAACATCAATGATGAGAGAGAATCATTGATCGGCTGCCTCCTGCACGTCCCACACTGGGGATGGAGCCCACAACCCGGGCATGTGCCCTGACTAGGAATCCAAACGTGACCTCGTAGTTCATAGGTCGACGTTCAACCACTGAGCCACACAGCTGGGCTGTATCCTGTTTTATTATTAAAAACAAATCGTGCCACTGTACTTAACTCTCAGCCTGCCAGCCCCTAGCATCCACGTCTCCTGGCGCTGGTTTTAAATAATTGTAGAGAGGTGTTGGTCTTAACGGGGAAAGCGGTAAATCCTAATATCATAAAAGCCCAGAACTAATGAGATACGAGGTGTTTGCTCCAGGACCGGGGAGAAAATGAGGGAGCATGGCTTTGACTCCAACTCCATCTCCCCACCGTTCAAACATTAAGTTTTCATAGGAACGCCCTGCATTTTGAAATAAAGAAAATGAAAGATTCACAATCTGGCCGAGCAGCTGGCTGCCAGTGTGAGAAAACACGGTAATTATGCTGACCCATTCATTATCGCCGGCTGCGGTGCCGAGCGAGCGAGGCAAGATCCCTCTCAGCGACAAGCAGGTTTTACAGTAATTCTTGCAGGATTTAGATGTTGGGAGATAACATGAAATAGAAGCTGGGCAGCAGAGCGAGGGGGGCACAGGCTGCTAAAAGTGCAGAGCCAGGGTTCCACCTGCACCCTGTTTCCCACAGAGAGAAAATGGCCTTCCGATGCAGGAGAAGGTACTGATGGGCCTTAACACAAGGCTCTTTGGTCTTCTCTACACAGGCCAGATGCGAGGGGTTCTACTTCTGTTAGAGGAACACAGGGAAGACCGCACATCAGCTCCTGGTGTAAATATTGCTTTTCTGGGGGCCCAGGTCCTCTTACTTAAAATAAGGTGGTTCCATAGCTCATGCATTGGAGCAAAAGCCTCCTGGAGAAAGTGTGTGAGGCTCCCCGATGGATGAGCTCAGCTCTCTCGCTCCTGTTGTCAGTCGAGGACTGGCCCAGGGGCCTGCTGGTCTCTGGTTAGTCATCATCACTAATGAGCATGCCCTTCCTCTTTCTTCCTTCTTCTCCTCAATCTCCCCTTCCGCACTTTTCCCTTCCCCCTCCCGTCCTTCCCTCCTCCCTCCCTCTTCCTTCCTCTCTTTATTTGTTAATCTCCTTCTGGACAAGGCTGCCATGAACTTCCCTGGTGTGCAATAAGTCCTCACTTCACATCCTCAATAGATTCTGCGGTTGTAAGCGGAAAGACATACCATATAACAAAACCAATTTATAGGATGGGCTAATTGATACACACAAGAGCTAAGTTCCCACTGCACCTCATCAACATTATAACAAAACACCGTTCCTGGAGGGCTGGCTGTCCTGACAATCCAGTAGCTTGGACCCTAGAGCTGAAGGACTCTCGCTGGTGCCGGAATGAATGCAAGTTCCATGAGGGCAGTGAGCTCCTTGGCTCTGTCCCCTGGTTTACAAGGCTGCCTGGTGCGGAGCGGCGTCAGGTGCCTAACATCGTGCCTGGCCTCCTGCTGCTGGTTAGCCGATGCCAAGTTGCTTCTTTATGGGGGTAAAGGCCTTACCTCTGTCCTTCCCATCTCTCATAACACTGTCTCCTATACAAATGCCCTGCCCAGCTTTGGCAGAAAAACAGCATGCAAATGACACAATTGGATCTGAATCATGATCCTCATAAAAATAATTTCTGCATCCTTACGTTTTGGGGCTGTATTGGCCCAGGCATACTAACCCGACTCGGAATATCTTTGATTCTGATAAAAAGGGAGGCAAGTCGGATAAGTGTATATTGGGCTTGGTATTACTGCAAACCCTCAACTCGTTTCAGTGCCCTTTTATTGCTGCACAGTGTCAGGATCTGAAGATCGGTTTCCTGTCCTGGGAACAGCAGGACTCACACTTTGCCCCCAGGCAGGTGATAACCTATTAAAGGTGCAGCCCCACACAATGCTCCTGGCGGCCCATCGAATCACAGTCTCTGAAATGCAATGCATTTGTGCAACAAGAAAGAACAGCAAATAGCAATATTTAGAACCCTTAACTTGTCCGATTTGCAGCTGTGCCTTTCATGTGTCCTCCCAGCTCCCTTCGAGGCTGTTCCCCAATGGCTGGTTTAGGACAGCAGGACTCTCTTCTACTGCCACTAAGACAAATCATCAACTTCAAGGGCAAAAAAAGCCACCACTGTTTGTCAAGCTTCCTTTAGACTCAACCTAAGAGGCAACTGCTTTTTCTTCACTTGCCCAGCAGGTATGCTGGTTTGTAGATGCTGGGACATGGTTCACTATATATTTAAAGCAATTATTTGAATAAACACCACCGAACTGGCTTTGTCTTTGGCCCTTCTAGAAAGAGACATCTCAGTATGCACTTTCTTTGTGGCTAGACACTTACTTTGTGTTGAGTGAAGGTTATCATGCCATCTACCAACGCCCCCGCCCCAACCCCTTCTGGAGTTTGGATCCAGCAAGTGGGTAAGAAATGTTTAATAAGCCCGAGCTGGTTTGCTCAGTGGATAGAGCATTG